CGGAGTGAAGTTTAGGGTTACCTTTTTGACGCAGTTATGGTTAGTGGGTTATATAGATATCAAGAATGTAATTTATGTAGCATGTAGATCATATATTGACTCCGCTTAGCCGACCCCCAAAATAGGTAATAAGTAACGTTTCCTCATAACTTATTTTATTAAATTAACTTTAGGGTTAGAGTCATCTTATATTAGGGTTTTAGAAGTTATATATAAATAAGCAAGTTGCCTTCTCGACATTTTTAATTAACCCACCCGAGGTAGGTTTAGACCGCCGTTTTTTGTATTTTTCAGGTTTTTCGTTTTTATTTCTTGTTTTGCCTCGCTGGCGATCATCAAAACTCTATAATTTGATTGGTCATGTGTCAGTGATTATGCTCCGCTTTTTATTTTTAACCCGCCCTTAAATTTCTCAGAAATTAAACTGACATAAGCCTAAAAAGCAAAATTTTGCTTATAAAATTTAGGCACGTCGATCATTAACCTCATATTAAAAAATTTACCCGTGAAATGTTGATCGACGCAAACATGCCGTAACTTTTTATAATTATTTAATATAGTTACGGCACGCTACGGCATCATTAGGATGATTCGCCTGCACCTCTAGCTTGTACCATACTGATCTGCTCACCCATACCATACTGATCTGCTGTAATCCCTTTTTATTGGGTGCGGGAAACTTTTATCGGGCACTGTAAATTGTATATGAGAACTAGTCTAGAAAAATGTTATTCCATACAGAGAAATGCTACGTACCAATAAAGCATATAGATGAAGTAAAAGAAAACCGACTTTGACCATATATATATATTGATATGCCAAAAAGTTAAAAGATCAATATTAGTTGGTCAAAAATCCCATATGTGAATCCGGGGTTATTTTGTGCTTTCACATGCAAATCTTTTAAATGAGATATCCATACATAAATTAAATTGATTGATTAAAGTCAAACTACTCCACAACCTAGAGTACCAAGCAGCGTGCCAACACATATTCATATCATTAAAAGATTTTCGAGATACAGTTTTCATTCGGTGATATTCATTTCATATTAATATGAGAATTCGAAATTAGTACTAAAATTAATATTCTTAATCAATATCTTATGAATTTCCATTTCAATGAATGACTACGTAGAAGGATTGTCGCTTCAGCCACTATATAAAATATAATGTACCTATTTGGCTTTGAGATTTTTTAGGTCCCAACGCTATTTCTCTCTGAAATCCTCTGTCTCTTATTTTCTGCTAAATTCCATATAATACTTTCTTTATCATCGCATATTCGTAATACAATATGATAATAGATTGTCTATCACAAGATCTGTGTTGGCTTCTTGATGAATCTAATGATCATAACATATTGATTTATGCTGGGGAAGTCCCAAATACCAGAACTTTTAAAGCTCACGTCAATATTCTTAGGGCAAGATCTTTGTATTTTCGTGCTGTATTATCTAGTAAACTTTTATCATGTAATTCCAAGAAAGAAACAAATGGATCGATTATGACTGAATGGTATCAACCAAATATTTCTCCGGAAATATTCGAAGTTTTGCTCAGGTAAGGTTGGGTTCTGTCTATGTATATCTTGATGGTTATGATTGATACAAAATTTTTTTTTTTTTTTAAAAAAAAAAAGATATATTTACAGTGGAGAACTTGACATAGATGGAGATAACATAGATAAAACACTTGATTACCTCATAGCTGCAGATATATTATGGCTCCATCAACTTTTAGATTTCCTTCAAAAATATTTAATTAAAAATCATTCAACTTGGATAAAAGAGAACTTTGTTAAAGTATTTCATATTATGCAACTTTACCCAACTACATTCAAGAAATTACAACAATTTTGTAAAATGATTATAGTAGCAGATCCTAATGTTCTTTTCGATTCTCCACATTTTATAACTCTTAAGGAAGAAGCATTTATTTCCTTGCTTAGCAAAGATTATCTACAAATTGAAGAATCGTTTCTATGGAATAAAATCATTCAATGGGGAATAGCTCAAAATCAACTTAGCTCTAATGTGTCAAGTTGGAGTTTGGATGATTTCTCTAATCTACGGATAACCTTAGCAAAATTTATTTCTCTTGTAAAATTTGAAAATATGTCTTATGAAGACTTTAAAGAAAACGTACGACCGTACAAAGTTCTATTTCCGTAAGTTATCTATTTCATCATATATATCATCTTATATGATTGATTCATATATTCTAAAAAAAAAAGCTTTTTTTTTTAAAAATAGTCTCGACTTTTATGAAAATCTTGAACATCGCATGAATGTATTTCAGCGAAGTGTGTCGATTGCTTCATCCGAACGACAATCATCTAGCGATGAGATGTTTATTTCTTCTTCGTCCACTTCACCCACAACTCTATCACCTTTGTCACCATATTTACAAATAGGATCGTCAACACAATCACAGCCTCCAGCTCGATCCACGTCTCCTCTATTACAGTCATTGTCTCCTTCAGTACAACAGATGAAACCTCAGTCATCATCTCCTCAACTACAACCGATGAAAACTCAGTCATCATCTCCTCAACTACAACCGATGAAAACTCAGTCATCATCTCCTCAATTACAACCGATGAAACCTCAGTCATCATCTCCTCAACTACAACCGATGAAATCTATATTGTCATCACAACAAACGAAAACTCAATCTCTAGCTAATCCGGGAACACCCATTCAATTACGACCTACGTCACCGTTGCAGCATTCGAAAACTCTATCTATGTCTTCACCACAATTGTCTTCATCAAGACCTTTGTCTCCCACACAAAAATCAACTCGACCTATATCTCCTTCATCGCGACCTCAGACTCCACAACCAACGAAATATCAATCTTTTCATCCTCCAGCAATATCTCCACCACATACACCACCACAATCTCCACGGATGCAAGTACATTCAGCACATTCTCTGAGTCATCAACGATCTCTAACTTCGGTTCAACAGACACAATCACGGTCTATGTCCCCTCAGCCACGAGAAGAACAGAATTATTTATCTCCAACACCAGAGCTCTTCACATTTCCGTCACCGTCACCACCAAGATCTCCAAAAATACAAGTTTATCCCCCCTCTGTTGTTTCAACTATTAATATTAATCGAGCATCACCTGAAAATTCATCCCCCATCTTAGAGCCTTTTAATTTAAAACAGAACCATTTATTCACCTTAGTGTCAAGAACTGATTTAGCGTTAATATCCGGTTGGATCGATGGTTTAGATCTATCATCGCCTGATGATGCAGCTTACGCTGTTACAGATGTTCCCTATAAATTTAAATTATTAGTTCGTGGTTCTCGACATGGATTTAGCGACAAAATATTTCATAAACGATGTGATGGTAAAGGTCCTACGGTAACTGTTATAAAATTACAAGGTGTTGATGGTATCGTTATTGGAGGTTATAATCCTATGAAATGGCAATCGCCTTGGTTACGAAAATTTGAAAAATGTCATCATAGTTTTGTGTTTTCCTTAAATACTAATGGTGAAGACAAAGATTCTGCAAATACAAAAGAAATACAGGATGATGAGATATTAGAAAATAATTTAGCTTGTAAATATAATATAAGTAATCGTAATTTAATAATTCATACTACTCCATTGAAACATAAATCAATGTTTAGTAGAGTTTCTCAATCAAAGTATGCAGTGAGCTTATGTAAGAATACAGGGCCAGCGTTTGGGACCACGGATTTAATAGTGAAAGAGGGTGAAGTTAAATGTAAACCTCATTGCTACTCTTTAGATTTATTAGAAAAAATTGATGGCGTCATGGATTTATATGATAATGAATATGTAAAGACTTATAAGATAGAGGAATATGAGGTATACCTTGTGTTGAAGAAGAAATAATATTTAAAAAAAAAAAAAAAAAAACATTATTTTAATTTCTTTTATGTAATAATTCATCTATCACTAACTGCATTATAATGGAAAGTAGAAAATAAAGAGACATAAATGAGGAATTTCGGACAAATTTAAACTATGCCTTTTGACTTTAATATAGTTTTACAAAATTCAACTTGCCATTAAAAATTCGAATACGATAACTATGAACAGTCTTTGTGTGTAGGGTCCGGAATCGGGCGGGTCGTGCCGGGTCGGGCCGGGTCGGGCCGGGCTTTTATAAACCCGGTTTACTGCTACTTTCATAATTCCTGGAACACCTGATAAAAATTGACCGAATGATTTTTCGGCCGATCCGGTTAAGT